TCTTAATTAATAAATTTGGTTTCCCAAATCAACCAACTATTGAATTTGGACCTTTAATTTAATATGAAAATAAAATTGAACTAGCTGTCGTTGTTTGAATGGAAAAATCATGCAATAATCCAATATAAAAACCATAATTTAGCATTAAAAATTATACTAAATGCAACACGTCAACAAAATCCTATCTAGTCCCATTGGAGATCAAATATATCATTTAATATACATTATCTGTTCAAAGAAGAAAACCAAGAAAATTTTGTTCAAATTCAATTAAACAAAGAGAGAATAATCAATAAGTAACTAAAATAATCAAACCCATAAAATATCATCCAAATTCAATAAATTAAGGAATAAAACAAAGAGAAAATAATTTAAGCTTCATTTTAGACGGCTTTGTTATGCTTCTTAAAGCAATTTTCAAGAACAAAAAATTTAATTTTTTACTAAAAAATTGACTTTTTAATAAAAAAAAATTATTTTAGAAAAATAATAAAAAAATCATCCAAAACGAAGCCTTAAATATGAATGAGGGCTACTTTCATAATATGGTTGAAAGCTACTCTTATAATAGAGAATTGATTTTTATTTACAACCTTGGTCAATGACCAAGTAAAAATGGAAGAAGATGAACATAAATTTTATTATGGGTTTACATAGGTTAAGACATGGACATCATTCAATTTAGACAGGCATGAACAGACTCACTATGTCTGTTCATTTCTTATCAGTAAGGGAAATTGATTCTATTAATAAATTAGCTCATATTTATGTAAATAATAATGTGGAACTTCATGGTATAATCATATATAGTTCTTTACATAGATGATATGTTAACTTTAAAGCTATGAAGAGTTGACAATAATAAGTTGTAGCTCAATATTTCTTTCTCAACTATATGGATAAAAAGAAAATTTTATTCCAAATTTTAAACGATTTATGATGATTACATGATCTAAAAGTCAGATGTCTCTAACAAAGTTTTTGATTCAATTAATATATAACTAAATTTTTTTTTAGCCGTCCCAAATGTAGCCTTAATAAAGCTTGAGTTGATTAAAACCCTAAAGCTATTCAATTGAAAACTATTAAACATTACTACATCCTAACAAATTATTTTCTTATTTGTTTGAGGGTTTAATACTTATAAGATGGAGAAATATTTACATATTTTAAATTATGCTAATTTTTTCTTGAATTTTACCTAACATATTCTGATGCATTTTTATCTATATATATACTTATGCCTATGAACGTTTTAATGTAATGGACGGTGTGATTAAAATTAAAATATCAAATAATAAGCCTAACAAATACTAAAATATATAATATACATATTATATGTTTAATATAATTTTAGTCATTTAACATTACATTTTACAAGGACTTGATTATAATCATGTTCAAAACCAACTTGAAATTAATTTCAAGTTTAAAGTGGCATTAAAAATCAACAAAAATCAGCAATGCCTCTAGGGGTGTAAACTAGTTGAATCAAGCTCGCGCCAGGATGTGTTTGAGCTCGACTCGCAAGTCAAATAACGAGGTCGAACTCGAGTTGAGCTCAAAAGTCAAGCTCGAGTCGCAACTCCAAAACGAGCTGGTCGAGCCGCTTGATTTCGGTATCCCGCCCTTATTTGGTTGTTTTCCCTCCCGATTTCTCAGCCAGCGAGCTGCAGGCGAGGCCTCTCTGAACGTGGCACTGAACTCAGGCTATTTGGTTGTATTTTGTTATAAAGATATAAATGCATAGTTGAAAGAATGTGGTATGATGGGAGAGTATAGTAGCTTTAATATTATATATGAAACTTGTATTGAAGAGTACATCAGCTTTAATATTTAAGATATATTTATTTGAAAATTGCACGGTAGTTATATCTTCAATCGTTCTTTTCTTAAAAAGATAACAATATTTTTTTAATTTAAAATTAATAAAATTACAAATTACTTTATTTAAAAAAAAATCCTAAAATTCTTCATGCCAGCTCACGAGCTTATGAGTCAAATTTCATCAAGCTCGAACTCGAGCTCGTTTACTAAACGGCTTGACTCTTGAGCTCGATAAGCTCAGATCGCCCTTAAATTAGTTAAGCTCGAGCCTGCTCACAAGCCGGCTCAGCTCACTTACACCCCTAATATGGAGTAGCAGCATGAATATATAGATAAGCCTTTGATTAAAAGCTTATTGAAATATACTTTTTATTTTAATTTAAATTACTAATGAATTTCATGAAAGAAAGGAGAATAAATATATCAGGACGAAAACTATCATCCATTCATAAAACAAATGAATGAATATATTAATAAATGATAGTTTTCTCATCATATTTGTTCCATGAAAATCATTAGTAATTTGAACTAAGATAACCAGACTATATAAATGAAATTTCAATCAAAGGCACATCCACGCACTGTAGGATGCAAAAGATGAGATGCTAAGGTGACAAACTATACAGACCAATTCATCTGCAATCTATAGAATTACAGCTTCATTGAGCCAATGATAGCTGGAAATGCATGTCTTGTTGCTAGTCTTGTTACAACACTGACAAGCAGTAGAAATAGAGGCAATTAGGGGTGTAAGTAGCCGAGCCGGCTCGAGCTCCAACCATTTATGGATTGCGAGCCAAGCTTATCGAGCTCACGAGTCGAGTTCGAGCTAGATGAAGCTCGGCTCATAAGTTCACGAGCTAGCTTGAATAATTTTAGAAATTTTTAAAAATAAAGTAATTAGTATTTTTATTAAATTTAGATTTAAAAAAGTTGTTATCTTTCTAAAAAAGTACATTGAAGCAACAACTATAATGCAGTTTTTAAATCAATATATATTAAATATTAAAGCTGATATACTCTCCCATTATGTCACATTCTTTCAACTCTGCATTTATATCTTTATAACAAAATAAAAACAAATAGCCTGAGCTACAGTTGCGTGTGCGGAGAGACCTCACCTGCAGTCTCGTTGCTCGTTGGCCGAGAAACTAGGCGGGAAAACAACAAAATAGGGGCGAGAAGCCGAAGTCAAGCGGCTCGGCCAAGCTTGTTTCGGTGTCGTGAGTTGATTTGACTTTTGAGCTCGATATTTGACTAACGAGTCGAGCTCAAACATCCCCTGGCTCGAGTTAGACAAACATTCCCTGACTCGAGTTAGACTCCACTCGTTTATACCTCTACTCCAAACTACCAATTTTGCCTATTCTTTTTTTCTTTTTAATCAGCTTATGGATAGAAGGTTCATGCCACCCACCTGCTCAACCATGCACGCTTATTTACATGCAAACCCATCATCCACACTACTACACTCTTTTCCAGACCACCACCTAAATTCTATTAGCTCTTGAAGGTTCTTCCTCAATTATTTAACAATGTCGAGAAAACATTGAAATCACTTATGATCAGTCTCTAAATACAAATTTCTTTCTGGAAGTTGTTCTCCCATCTCTTTTGCATCCTTTCTTACTATGAGTCGATATTGCTTAAGAATGGCTCAAGTTAATTCATGCCCAAACAAGTTTACATGCACTTCAATATTAGCCGCCTAAACATAATCTGAAACAGCTCACCTTTGCTATAATGGTTACTAAATCTGATGAGGACATTCCAATGGAGGAATCTAAGTTCTACTCTCCAATTATTAACAACTGCTCCGTGCAAGAGGCAAAAGAAAATTTGATACACATCAGAGGGGGCCACCTTGTGGGACCCAGGGAAACTATTATTCATTATGTGAGGAGGAGGATCAAAGAGAACCTCTTTAATTATTTAGGAATATTTCCTAAAATATATTTAAATTTTTAGGAAGGTTTCCTAAACTATGTTTAATTATTTAGAAAAGTTTCCTAAATTATGTTTAATTTATTTAGGATGGTTTTCAAAATCATGTTTAATTTGTTTAGGAATATTTCCTAAATCATGTTTAATTTGTTTAGGAATATTTTCTAAATCTTGTATAACTGTTTAGGAAAATTTCTTAAATTATATTTAAATTGTTTAGGAAAGTTCTATTAATGCTATCATGTTCTAGGGCTATTTAAGGAAGAGTTGTCTAGCATTTTAGGATCATGTTATGATGGAGTTTTGATTTTGATGTAGTTCTGCTCTTTGAGAGCTTCCTAGCAGCGCCTAGGGTGATTGGGAGAGTCGTTCTACCTCTTGAATTATAGATTACCTATATATTGTTGTTTCCAACCATTAAAAAAGCGGACGAGGCGTCCGCATTGAGTCGCGCCTCAAGTCGAGGCGGAAGTCATGCGTATCAGGGCTTACGCCTCGAACCATCCAGCGAAGCCTACGATTTTTTCGCACAAGGCGTATGCATTAGAGCGTAACGCCACGAGGCAGTATGAGGCACCGCCTCAAAATTTTTTCTTCGGTATATATGTAAATACGATGCAGCCGATTCGTGTGTGTGTATTCACGTATAGGATTAGGGCTTCCTGTGAGAATTGAAAGGCGAACTAGATGCGAAGCAGTGAGGGAAAGAGACGAAGCCGTGAGTGCAAGGGACGAAGTCAGAAGGAGATGATGCAGGAAACGAATCCAAAAGCAATAACGGATTCGAAAGCATGAAACGAAGCCGAAGTTGTGAGTTCAGGAAACTTTCAGGCCTTGGTTAGGTAGGAAGAGCAGGTGAGCGGTGTTGTGGCCTTGACTTTGAGGTGCAGTAACGAAAGCTTGAATAACTCCTGATTCGGCTTTCTTTCATTCGTCCGCTCAGTACATGCTCGGTACCTAGCAGGTACAAGCTCGGTACCGCTCAGTACATACTCGCTACCGAGCAAGTACATGCTCGGTATTGAGCTGTGCATGCTCGGTACTAAGCGGTACATGCTCGGTACTGAGCATATACAACAAGCAGAATCTCAAAATTACTCTTATAAAAAAATTCTGTTCCTCCAGGGGGCAGCGCCCCCTTGAACCCTCGACAGACCGGTACATTTTTGTATTCATGTTGTTTTATTATTGGTAGTACAAATAATTGTTAAAATCTATCCTATTATTAGCATAACTACTGGTATAAGAAGGAAAGATCATGCATGGAAATATGAAACTCAAGTTGAAGTGTCTGGCGAAGGTGCAAAGAAGATATATGTTTACATGAAATGTAATTTCTGTGAGAAACGCATAACTGGTGGCATTAAGAGGTTGAAGGATCATCTAGCCTGTACTCATGTCAATGTGGGACCATGTACAAAAGTACCTGATAAGGTGAAAAAGGAATGTACATATTATTTAAAGAAGTTTGCCACCACAAAGAAGATTACACAAAGAAATATGAAAGAGATGATAGGAAACACTTCTTATTATGGATCACAGCATGAAGGTTCCAGTAGTGGAAGCCATCAAGTTTCTTCTAACCGAGGTACTCGAGGTCCTATGGATAGATTTATGATAAATATTGGTGACGATGATAACATAAACACTCAGGAACTTCAGCCTCCTACGGCTACAAAAGAACTCAGGAATAAGGTTTGTTTGGATATCGCCAGATTCATCTATGAAAATGGGATTTCATTTAATGTTGTTAGGAGTCCTTCATGGATTAATATGTTACGATCTGTTGGAAGCTATGGAAGAGGACTACAACTTCCAAGCATGTATGAACTGAGGACTTGGATGCTGAATGAGGAGTTCAAGACAACTTCAAAAATGGTGGATGATGTTAAGAAGACTTGGATTGAGACAGGAATCACAATAATGTCAGATGATTGGTCAGATATTCGACATAGAAGTATTATTAATTTCTTGATCAACAATCCATATGGAATAGTTTTTATGAAATCAGTGGATGCTTCAAGTTTTCTAAAGGATACACAATTATTGTTTGAAATGTTGGATGAAGTTGTTGATGAAGTGGGTGATGCATTAGTAGTATAAATTGTTACTGATAATGCAAGTGCATATAAAGCTGCAGGGAGAATGTTAATGGAGAAGAGGCCTCACCTTTACTGGAATCCTTGTGCTGCACATTGCATTGATTTAATGCTTGAGAAGTTGGGACAGTTACCTCAGCATAAATTAGCCTTATTGAAGGCCAAATTCGTTAGTAAGTTCATATACAATCATCCTTGGGTACTCAATTTGATGAGAAAATCCACTAATAAGGAAAGTATTAGACCTACGGTTATGAGATTTGCTACTGCATATTTAACATTACAGAGATTCAAGGAGTTAAGGCAACCTTTGGAAGCTATGTTTGCTTCTGAAGAATGGGATAAAAGTTCATGGGAAAAAAATAAAAAGGAAAATAGGTAAAAAAAAATTGTTATGAAAGATGATTCATTTTGGCACAGTACAAATTATGCTTTGAAGACAACAACACTATTAGTTAAGGTGCTTAGAATAGTTGATGGTGAGAGGACCCCGGCTATGGGATTTATTTATGAAGCAATGAATAGGGCTAAAGAAGATATTGCAAAAGATTTGGGAGGTCAAGAAAGTGCCTACAAAGAAATATGGGATATTATAGATGAAAAGTGGGATCGTCAATTACACCAACACTTACATGCTGCTGCATACTATTTAAACCCTCAATTTCATTATGATAAAGACTTTCATGTTGATAAAGAGGTGAAAACTGGTTTGTATGCATGTATGGACATACTCATTTCTGAAGAAGACTACCTCAAAGTGAATGATCAACTTGAGAAATTTCATCTGAAGAAGGGAATGCTTGGATTTAGAGTAGCACAAGCATGCTACAAAACACGATCTCCTGGTATGTTTATAATTTGTATATTTATAATTTTAATTTTAATATTTATGTTCAAGTCTTATACTTCAATCAATATTCATAAAATATTTTTCTTTTTCATGTAGAACGTTGGAGTCAGTTTGGAGATGATGTTCCTGGATTGAAAGCTTTACAGTTAAAGTTCTTAGCCTAACATGTTCGGCTTTTGCATGCGAGTGTAATTGGAGCATCTTCAATAAAATTCATACTAAGAGAAGAAATCGGTTGGCCACAGATCAAATGAACAAACTTATTTATGTTATCTTTAACAAAAAACTGAAAGATAGACATCTCAAATTATAGAAGCAAAGAAGCATTAATAATGAAATTGACCATTTATTTGTTGATGATTTACAATCTGATGATGAATGGATTACTCCTAAAAATGTTGATGTTTCTGAATTTGAAGTAGAAGGAGAAACTCAATTCAATGAAGACAGTGAAGCAACTACTCATGTATATAAAAGAAAGAAACAAAGTGAGATGGAGCTTCAAAAAAATTCAAAGGTATTCTTAAATATAATGAATTATTTTTTTATGCTATTTTTGTTTCATTCTAGAGCTAACAAAATATTAACTGATATAGGAGATAAAGGAAAAAATATTATAGATGAAGAAGAGTTTGAGGATGACTTTGACATTAATTATTAAGATTATTCTGAAGAAAATAAAAGTGATGATGAGCCTGTAATGGGTCTTGATCCTAAAGGGATGTTTTATTTTTAAGTGAGTTTATTTTAAATCTTCTTTTCTAGTAATATACTAATGTTATCTTAGAACAAATCATCAAATTCACAATTGACGTAATATTTTGTTATTTTTTGATATTTTTGTCATTATTCATAATTTTAAATTGCTTTATTTTTATAATTTTAAGCTTACGCCTCGATCTGCCTCGAGGCTTACGCCTCGCCTCACTTAGCCAAAATGTCTCGATTCTCGATTTTGCCTTTTAAAACGTTGGTTGTTTCTTATTAAAGTATTAATATAAAATCAGCCATTGCTCTGGTTTTACTATAATTTTTCAATCTGTTGTTTGTTATTTTTGTTTTCAAGGAGTATTAAAGTTCCTCTCAAATGTCCACGTCTTAACTAGATTGTTATACAAATTGTTTTTGTTATATGATGCATCTAAATGGGAAAAAGAATTTAGCTAGATCAAATTCTTCATCTTCCCTCTTTTGCTTAGCATTTTAGCCTCTAGTAATGATAATTACTTTAAAAATTTTCACAAGTAAAAAAACCTTCCATTTTCCACTATAAGAAAATGTGCGTTTTCCGTCGGAAGATTCGGTGAATTGTTTTATGCCAGTAACACCGTCACAGGAACCGACAAACTTGTGCCGGTAATTTAACGACGTATTTTCCAATGCACTATATGCCGCAAACATAGCGGCGCAAATTCCACCGACTTTATGCTCGCATTTCTTAAGTTTCTAAAACATATTCCATAGGTAATGACCGGCGAAATTACCGACGCAAATTGTGCCGACTTACTTAAACTCGATGAATAATTACCACTGTAATATCTGCCGGTTATGTAGCCGGCAGATAATACATCGAAAAATGTGCTGGTTAAAGCCCTATTTCGGTGCATTTCTTGAACTAGTTCTCACTTCTTTCTCTTTTCGTCATCGTCCAAGAGCTGCGCTTCCGAGAGCTGCGCCAACACCACGATCTCCCTCTCTTTCCTCAAGTCCCAGATGTGCACGATCTCCCTCTCTTCGCTCAAGTCCGCGAGCTACCCCGACGACTGAAGGTTCATTAGGGATGTTAAGCCCTATAGAACTGGCCCGAGGCTAACCAAGAGGTGGGGTGAATTGGTATTTAAAAATTTCTTTAAGCAAAGCACAAATATCACAAACAAAATCACCACAAAAATAAGTACATAAGAAAATAAATGTGGAAGCAGTAAAAACAAGAACATAAGGGTTTATAATGGTTTGGTCAACTCGACCTACATCCACTCCTCGGAAGCGCTCTCCGAGTATTGCACTACCAATGTGACTCTCCTTTAGCCCCCACAGCTAGGCGGAGAAGCTCTCACAAAAACACCTCCTTTTTACCACATTCGGCAAGGCAGAGAACCCAACTCCTTTTGCTTCCTCCTGAAGCAGGCAGAGAACCACGATCACTTGTTAAAACTTACCTCTCCTAACCCTTCCAAGGACAAGAGAATCTAGGAAAGAAGAAGTAAAACAATGCTTGGAGCAACCCTTGTGAACCCTCTCACAAGCTCCCCCTCACAAGATCCTCTCTCTCTCTCTCTCCCTCTCTCTCTCTCTCCCTCTCTCTCTCTCTCCTTTAGGTTTTCTCAGGTCAAGATAGCAGCCAAGGATGTTCAAAAACATTGAACTAGAGCTCTTAAATAGCAGAGCTTCAAAGGAGCTCATTAATTGCAAGTTGCCGACATTATCGTCCAGGACGATATTGAAATCTTCCTAGCCGATCATTATAAATATCATAAGATCGGCCATATCATCACCCTGAATGCAAACTGGATGATTAAAAATTTGCTTGATCATCCCAATCGGTATCGATCGTCCCGGCCGATCAGTTCAAATCAGAGGAAAATCGTCTAGAGCATCGCTCTGAATTTGATCTGGCCGATATTCATCGTCTAGAAGCAACTAAGAGTTTTTGAATAGATCGTCCTTACTGATCCTGCGATCGTCTAGGACGATGTGATTGTATCAATCATCCTTAATTACTTCCTTGATTCATGGATCAATTTAGGCATAATTGTGTAAAATTGTCCAGGCCGATATCATGATTGTCCTTGCAATTTTCCAAAAATACCGAATGCCTAACTTGATCATGGCGACAATTTCTTTCTGAATTGAGCATATCGTCCTGGCCGATACAGGTATCGTTTAGGCCGATCAGTTAATTATGGCTGCCTTAACTAAGAACTCCTGATTAGATCTTTTATTTTGAGCTCGATCATCCAGGACAATATAAATATCATCCGGGATGATGTGAGCAAAAACACAAGTTCTAAATCTCTCAAGTGTGTGTGTAGGGTTTCAGTCACTTCAAGCAATTACAATTGACTCAAAAAAGAAAAAAGAAAATTACAGACTAACTCAATCCTAATCTACCCAGTCTTGAGCTGATTCTGATTTTCCGTCCGATCTTTGAGTCCTGAAAAGTCAGTAAAAAAAAAGGCAATCATAGTGAAACAAGATTTATTTACTATCATCAAAATCATAATCCAAAAATATGTTTGTAACAATCTCCCCCTTTTTGATGATGACAAACATATCGATAATCAAATTTAAAACAGTAATGCAAAACTAAACAAGCTTTCAAATTTTCGAACAGAACAAGTACAAACATACTACAAGAGCAAGAACAAACATACTACTCCCCCTTTTGACATCTCAAAAAGGAAGAGGAAACTAAAAACACAAACTAAAGCAACTAAAAACACAATACAGAAAAAAAAGCAATCCACAGAAAACAGAAACTAAAACTACATAAACGAGGGATCCTGATCATCAGATAAAGGTGGAGGTGGTGGACACTGCTGAAAGTAGCTAGCTAGCGTAGTAAACTGAGCATTAAACCAGGCTATATCCTGGTCATGCTGTTGCTGCTAGTGAGTAATGTAGTTGTCAAAATGAGCTAAGTCCTCTGTGCGGTGTTGCTCGTAGCGAGTCATGTCCTCAAAATGTTGCTGCTTCTGTGCAACAACGTAAACATCGAAACGGGTCTCCCAACGATCAAATCTCTCCACTAACTGGTCAAACTGTGAGTGCTGGTGAAGAGGAACATGATCAGGAACGGGAGAGGGAGCCTCCTCCTCCTCGGCCCCCTGCAGTTCCCCATCTCCTGGGTGGAGACGAGTGCTGTGAAGGACATTGAACGAATTATTTGAGTAACAGGGAGGTGGATGGTTGGGGTGAGCATGATATTGAAGATTATATTTGGTTTCAATAATATATGAGATGATGTGTCCCAAAGCCAGATTAGGTTTTCTCTTATGACCCGGATTACGAATTGTAGTTAAATAATCAATGTATCGAAAGATTAGATCAGTAGCATTAAAATCTCTATGGGCCATGATGTAAAAGGTGGTAAGAGAAAGTAATTTTGGTCTCCGGCTTTTGGAATTATGGAAGTGCGAAGGACATGTTGGATTGTCCTAACATCTTTGACTAAAGAGCTAGTCTCTCCAACATGAAAGGGAGAGTTGGTTTTGCGTAGAAAATGATTTACAGCGGACCAGTTGAAGTCAGGATCAGAGATAGTTAAATGCAGCTTATCCCCAGTGGTGGATAGCTGCAGCAGTTCAACACAGTCTTGATATATGATCTCGACTGGGCGTCGATTCACATAGGAGATTAGGGCTATGTAGTCAGCATTTATTCGGAGATTTGCAAAAAATTCAAACAGAAGTTCGGAGGCAAAAGGGACTTCTAGAGTAAGAATGAAGCAGAGAGAAGTGTGAACAAAGAGATCTAGTACCTGATATGAAAGGTAGGCAGGATTGATTATCCTGGAGAGAGTGATGCTGTATTCCTTGTACCGACGGTAAGCTGCATGATCCTCTACTTCCCTAAATTGAGGGTCTAGAGTGGCCCTCGAGGAACTTCCAGAAGCCTGTCGGACTCGCTTTCCACCAGCCATAACAAGAAATCAGAAAGTAAAAATGAGATAAAAAGAAGCTTTGAGGTGAAAACCATGGCTGGAATGGCCTGAATTTAAAGAAACGGCCACATCATCCAGGACGATCGTAGAATCGTCCAGGACGATTTGGTTCAATTATTGCGTACAGGCCAATTTGTCAAAATGGTAGTCCGATCGTCCGGGCCGATCAGATATCGGTTAGGACGATTAGACATAGGCGATCGACCCGAGGAGTTAAGTCGGACGACCGTTGAAAAAGCAGATTGTCCGGGCCGATTAGATATATCGTGCAGGACGATGCACAATAATTGATCGTACCGGCCCAAGTTAAAACATTTTAAATCTATGCCACGTGTATCATCCAGGATGAACAGTGGATCGACAAGGATGATTATCCAATAATGGATCATCCGGGGCCAGTTTTAAGGATTTAAACGTACTGACACGTGGATCGTTCGGGACGATCTAGTGTATCGGCCATGACGATGACCATAAATGCATCGGTCAGGAAAAAAATTGTAT